CTATGGTTCATAGACATGTGAACTAGTGTGGCTGAAAAATCTTTTGTAGGAAATGGGGTTCTCAATTGACAGACCCATGGGGTTGTATTGCAATAATCAAGTTGCTGTCCACATTTCTTCTAATCTAGTCTTTCATGACAAAACAAAGCATATTGAAGTTGATTGCCACTTTGTAAGAGAAAAGGTGATCAATGGAGTGAAAAATACAGCTCATGTGAGTTCGGGAAACAAGTGGGCAGATTTGTTTACAAAAGGGTTGAGTCGGGGAAGAGTGGATTACATATGTGACAAGTTGGGACTATATGATATATACTCTCTAGCTTGAGGGGGAGTGTTAGAATTGACAGTACAAGGGTAGTTAAGTCTTTTGTTTTTCTAATTAAGGTTAAGTTGTTTATTTTGTCTGGGTTTAAGTTGTGTGTCCCATATTTATGAGGGACAACTCTGTCTTTTGTAATCTAATACAAAGAGTATAAATACAAAGTGGGTCGACTGAGAGAGGTGACTTTTCTTCTTCATAGGCCTAACCCTTTTTCCTTCTTTTCTCCTCTCTCTCTCTCTTCTTCGTCTTCTTCTTCTTCTTCTTACTTATTTCATACCTAGAACTGAACTAGGGTTAATCGAATTATTCACAAAAATTTAAAAACTTAATTACTTTTAAGTTATATATAATAAATATATGTGCATATAAATATTAAATTAATCTACTATAAACTTTATATAATTACATATTAATCGGATCGGATAGTGTTAAACCCACATCTAATCTATTTATTAGGATGAAAATTTAACATCCAAATCTGAGAAGGATTTACCGGATTTGGTTTTGTTAGATACTTTGCATTTCATGGGCTTGGTTTTGGTACTTTCGTTTTTCTTCTCATTCTTTTATTTGTTTGCATGTCAGTTTTGGATGAGCCACTACTCTACTATATCCGATAGAACTTGAAGTCAGATTAATCTCTCATGCATCTGATTGGGGTTCAGATCAAATTTGGATAAAGTTTATATTTTCAATTCGAACTTGGATTCATGTATATTCGATCCGAGTCCAATTCGATTATAGGCATAATTGCCTTTCTAGGCTCACGTGTAAGGAAGTGAGAGGGAGCATGCTCCTTGTGAATGCTATGGTGGGAGGCCCCTTGTTTCTGTGCACTTCTTCTCGTATACATAGATGTAGATTCCGAGAGTAAGTGAGAGGGATCAAGTGAGAGTGAAAAGTGAACAAACAATCAACTCCACCCATCTTTTCTTTAGGGGTGTATTTTCCCCACAAAACATGGTCCTTGATCCGACCCGCTCCGAACGGGGCGAATTTTCCTAATCATAAATGGGAATAGGTTGGGTTTGGTGATTTTTCTTTTGCCCCAGACCGGACAGGGCGGGGATAGGGTCTGCATATAAATCCCTGCATCTGCCCTGAACCCGGTTGTAAATTACAATAATTCCTTTCTCATATAATATGAGTTAGGTTTTGGCGTTTGGAACTTTTGGTTTCTCTTCTCACTTCGACACTTCTAGTTCGGCAGTTTCAGATTTTTGGTTCGTCTTTGCCTCTTCTTCTTCGGTCTTTGCAGATCACAATTCGCCCACATACCGCTGGGGACGGTTTTGTAGTTTGCACTTTTGGCTCCGTTCTCCCTCTCTCAGTTCACCCCCTGATTGCTGGACGCTGTAGCAGTAGTGAGACCGGTGACTCCATTCTGGTGTTCTTTGTTTTTCCCTCTCATTTGATTCTCTGTAACTGTGTTTCTCCTTTTACTCTTCAATCGTTCTTTGTGGTATGTATTCTCTGTAATTGTGTTTCTCATTTGATTCTCTGTAATTGTGTTTCTCATTTGAGAGGTTAGAGATTACTGAGTAGACCCAAAGATTAAACATCAGAGTTTCCACTCTCCGTTTTCTTAAAAGGAATGAGAAAAGATGGTTCTATTTTGCTTCTACATATGAGAATATGACTAGTAATTGACACAAAGGAACAATGATTAGAATTTTTAAATCCTGGCTTTATTATCGATTCTAAGATAAAGTTATTAATTTCATCAAAGAATAAAAAAATAGTTCACTTCCCATTTAGTTTGTGGTAATTAATAGAGGTCTAGAATTAGAATTATGGAATGGCATTTCCTCATTTGAGGTGCTATTCACTCTCCCTGATTTGGGAATGAAATCCTATTCCAGTTAATTCCAATTTCCATCCTGAATTACAAGTTCTAGTCAACAGGGCAGTCGGAGATTACTCGTCCCAAAGTTCAATGGTTGCGAGGTGGGGATATGTCGGGGATTCCCTATACCCGGTGGGGTCGGGGATGGGGGTTGAATCTTTACCTCGATACCGGGGATGGGTTAGGGGATTTTAGCCACAGGGAGGGGGTGCTCCGCCCCCGTACCTGCCCCGTTGCCATTCCTACTTTGCTTCAAGACAAACCCTAGCCAACTGCTGGTTGCGAGAAGTAAATGTTGTGAAGTTGTCCTTCTGCAATTTGATGATGTCTCTAGGGTAAGGTACTCCGGTTTTCTCCTTATTCTTAAATGAAACAAGGACCTTGTCCCTATTTTTTCTTTCTTTTTGTCCTTATTGATATAAAGTGTATATAGTAGTAAAATGGGAAACTTGGATCTTTCCTTTTTTCGATGGGGAATTCATTTGTCTGCTGAGTAACCTCTGTTTATTGTTGCTAGAATAGAGAATATTCAATGATTCACTAAAAAATAAAGGGACTTGTAACCCCACCTCCTAGTTTATTTGTAATATTATATAATCGATGGTTTGTCTCTCTTGTTATATACTAGTAAGTGTGCACATGCTTTGCACGTGGCAATTCTAGATGATGATAATAATGTAATAATGTATCCAAAATTGTCTATAAATTTAATGTATTTTTTATTTTTTGTTTTTAATTATTAATTGAATGAAGATTGCCAATCCAAATCTGATTACATAAACACCTTATCCAAATATGTGATAATCGGATTGAGTTGTGAAGCTTCAAGTATCATTGAAAGGCCTGCCTGTTTGGCTAGACTCTTCTTTTTGTAATGTTTTATTTTTTTAGTGCATCTTTCTTTGTTAATTTATCAAGAAAATGTAAGATTTAAATAGAGGGAATTGAATGAGGTGAAAAGTAGTTGTTCAATTTACAATTTAAACGTCACAATTAAATAGAGACTAAATTCAAAAATGAGTATTTTAGTTAAAAGAAAGTTCCACAATTTAATTCAATCTCTTTTTTTTTTGTATTTTTGTGTAGATATAATTCTGATATGCCACACTTTCTTTTTGTTTAATATGATAAATATTTGATATTATACATGTGCCTAATGTTTTTTTTTTCTACAAAATTTATGTATTTTTTCATTTTTGTATTTTTACATTTTATTATTTATTTATGACAATAAAGTTTAACACATTTGACCCAAAAGTTGAATTAGTGATCTTTGCCAAATGGTAAAATAATTTAATTTTTGGTCAGTTATAAATTATATATATCATTTTCATCATAAATAAAAATAATTCTTGTTTATTACACTTATTTTTTTTAATTGGATGAATAAAAATATCTTAAACATGTCTATTTTTTTTTGACATTTTTTAATTTTAATTTTATTTATTTCTATTTTAAATATTTTATTACCTAACTATGACTTCATAGGTTGATCAAATTTGATTTGGATGGTTGAATTGCTTAGCCACCACTTGGATAAAGAATGTTTTTTTTTTTAACGCCAAGAATGGTTTTGTTTTTGAGTTAGTTTAAAATATATAGGTTTATATTGTTAAAAATATTGACATAGATCTAATTAGTAGCATTTATTAGCAAAAAATAAGAGTTAATGAGAGGGGATTAAATGAGGTAGAAAGTAATGACTGAAGTTACATTTTCAACCCTTCCAATTAGAGATGGATTAAATACACAAATATGGGCACTTTAGTATCCATAAAAGTTGGCATTAAAATTATAATAAAATGACTTTTATACCCTTTCTTAGACAAAGAAATAGAGGGTAATTTTAATTCAAAAAAAAATAAACTTTCACTATGCATCCACACTTTTATATATAGTATAGATTTGTGTAGAATGTGGACTTGACATTGTTGTTAGATGTTTCTAGAGTTTTACTTGTTGTGGTTATTTGGATTTTGGTACTTGTTGATAATGCTAATGTTAATTATTAGCTATTTCAGGTTGGAAAATGCTTTCAGTTGTTCATTCTTAAAGGCTCAGTTCATAATCTGTACATATTTGTATTTGTACTCGTTCCAAACTGAGCCTAACGGTTATGTTGAATCTCTACCAAAATGGTACTTGGTTATAAAATGATGTTTAAATTATGTAGCATCTCTTTTTCTCATGATTGATGTTCATCATATTAGCTCATTTTAGTTGAGCGGTTTTGGGCATTTAAATGAAATTCCACACACTTGTCATGTATTTTTGTAAATTTCCTTTTTCTTTTAATAATTTCTTGTCTTGTTTCAATAAAGCTAGTGGCTTATCTTTGCCTTGAGGCTTTTTGAATGATTAGGTATTTGCTACCTAAAAACAAAGTCACCCTTGCCAACACTGGCAGACAAGGTACTACATCCATCATTAATGACATGGAGGAATCTTGTTTACTTTACATCTCCACAGTCTGAGACAGAAGCAGACTTACCTTTTCATGCTTTCCTGGGAAAAGGTTTTTGATTATTAAATGTATGAACACATGCTGAGGAAATAAAGAAATAAAAGAAGATAAAAGAATAGATTTGTTGTGTTAAAAAGCTTCAGTTATATGCAAGAATATGTTATGAAACAGAATCAAGGATGTAAGTTTCTTTTTGTTTTGAAACAATGATGGGCATGTGATGAGCTAGAAAGGAAATAATAATGTTGGGGGTATCAAAGTGTTTTTTTTTTTTTTTTTTTGATTGACATATACGGGGATGTATATAACTGCATTAACATGTTGTCCATTTAACTTATGTTGTTTTTTCTTTTCTTTTTCTGATGCAGTTTGATTTTGACACAAGTCCTATTTCAGCCTTTTTCTGGTTACAAAAAAGTGGGGCAACGTTAGGCAGGCACCACCAAATTATCTCTGACCTTTTGTTAGTAGTGGCTCTCCCATGGCCAGGATGCCATCATCTCTTTCAGGTAGCATTCTGTTTTCAACAATGTTTTTATTAGTTAGTGATTGTGATAATGGTGTTGATTTGTTAAACTATATGCCAGTACAGGTTGTTACATATTGGGTTGTCAAGGTGATCCAAGTGCCTTGGCCCCCCTTCTGGTGAGGCCTTATGCAGCCTAGAAGCCAGAATACTAAGTCTGTTAGTCATATAGAAACGACATATTTTCAGCCAACTATTTGATATACTATTCTTATAATGCAATGGGTTTTTTTGTAAGTAAAGAATTTATTGAAAAAAGAGGGGAAAAGGTCAACAGCAGATTTCGAAAGTGCACTAGAACCCAAGACAAAAGACAATAGGAGAAGCAATTGGACAAGTGGGGGTCCTCTGTAATGTCAGACGATGTTTTGATAGATGAAGTGATGATTATATAATAAAAGGGAGAGTTTCCCTCAAGTGTGTAACTACCTGATATAGGATGTTTTAGTATATTGATTGGCACTATCAGCTTATATACAAAATATATCCCTTTCTACAAAATACTTTCTCATACTACAAAATCAATTTCACTGGTGATCTACTTATAGTGGGATTCAAAGTGTTTATACATGAGACTTGTAAATTATTTGGAAATGAATGCTTGCCTGATCACCTTCATCCCCCCC